TTACTTTTACTACTTAAGTGCTTATACTATAAGCAGCTAGCTAACAGAGCCTATTTAACACTAATTAGTAGTTAATTTAATTAACTATAAATTAGTAAAAGTAATAATAGAGTACTTACACCTTATAAAGTTGTCAGATTAAAGCACTGTTTCTGGGCTTCCTGAGATGAATGATGGGTTTTGGATATGATGTATGAGATGATGATTGATTGTATTGATTGATCGATTTTTTTTGTCTGCTCTGCTTGTGTTGCTCGGCTTTGTTTTTCCGGTCCGAGTCCCTCGCGCACTAGCCCTATGCGCGACTAGCTTGCAACATGCTGCAATTTGTTGCAAAATGCTGCAACATGCAGCAATTTGTTGCAAAATGCTGCAACATGCAGCAATTTGCAGCAACATACTGTTCGAGCTTATTGCTCGTACTATGTAGCAGCTTTCGTCCAGCGTTCCTCCTGTCTTGACAGTAGGTGCGCATATCTAACAAAAGTACTTTATTTTATTACTTATTTTTAAAGATAGTAGATTAATTCTTTACATTATACAGTAAGCTCTACTCCTGTATAAAGTAAGAAGAAGATAGTGTAAGACGCACACTAAAGCTATTAAAGCTGCACAACCTAGCAGCTAGATAATAGCAGTACCTACATAATCTACTAGAAAAGCAATTAACTATACTATTATAATAAAACCTTACTAGTAACTAACAACTCTATGTAATAATAAAAAGAATAAAAAATAATTTTTATTATATAAATAACTTATAAAGAACATAAAAATATTAAAGGTAACACTATAAAATAAGACTAGCTTAAAGTACTAGAATAATAAGATTAACATATTAAAAGCTTTAATAACCTTATAAATCTAATTATATATAAGTTATATAATTACTAATCTACATATAATAACTTAAAAAAGTGCTACTGTTTTAAGTTTATATATAAAAAATTTTAAAAAATAAATACTATAAAACTTTTTAGCACTTAGCTATGTGTTTAAAAAAGAGCTTATATAAGTACTAAAAAATAAAAGAATTACACTATAGCTAAGTAATAAAAGTACTTAAGCCTAAAAGCTGTATAATATAGTATAAAAAAAGTAATTACACTTAAAAGGCTTTATATATAACCTTTATTACTATATAAAGCTTTATATAAAAGTAGACTAAACATAATGGTACTGATAACACTAAATGTACTAGTATTACCTGCTTCTATACCTTAGCTAGTACTACACTAATTACTATATAAACAATACATGCTATCCTATCTAACGCCTGCCCCACACTCTTAATTGTACACACTACTGCCTGCTATAGTGTATGCACTACTAATGCTACTTATATAATCTTTACTATATTATAACTTAACTATATAAACTTCTACTTTAAAAAGAAATTACTAAAAAAAACTTTTTAGTAAATAAAATTATATAATTTTAAAAAGCATAAAAAAATTAATAACTATATAAGTTAACTATATAACATTTTTATAAATAAAATAAAGATCTTTATTAATTTATGTTAACGTACTTTACAGGCAAGTTGCTTACACACCTAAGTTGCTTACTTTTGCTAAGACTTTACTAAACTACTTTTTCTATACTAATGTATTTCTAACAACTGTTAGATTGAAGCACTGTTTCTAGGCTTCCTGAGATGAATGATGGGTTTGGATATGATGTATGGGATGATGATTGATTGTATTGATTTATCAATCCTTTTTCTGCTCTACTCGTGTTGCTCGGCTTTTTGTTTTGCCGATCCGAGTCCCTCGCGCACTTGCCCTATGCGCGACCAGCTTGCAAAATGCTGCAAAATGCTGCAATTTGCTGCAACATGCTGTAAAATGCTGCAACATGCTGCAAAATGCTGCAAAATGCTGCAATTTGCTGCAACATGCAGCAATTTGCAGCAACATACTGTTCGAGCTTATTGCTCGTACTATGTAGCAGCTTTCGTCAAGCGTTCCTCCTGTCTTGACAGTAGGTGCGCATATCTGACACACCCCCTCAGCTTGGACATGCTTCAAGCTGGTTCCTGATTGCGCAACCTTAGTATGCTTCTAGGGCTTCCATTCTTGCTTCAATCTCTTCTATATCCGCTTCCTGACTGACTATCCTCTCCCTGACGTCAACTAGCCGAATTTGCTGAAGAAAGCTTGGCCATTTACTAGCTAGAAGCGCTTTAGTAAGTCCGTCCGCAAGCATCTTGCTAGAGGGGACATAGACAACCTTAATTGTTTGTTAAGAGACTTCCTGTCAGAGCTAGTGGTTATAGATGTTAACATGTTAGAGCTTAGTTTAAAGTTAAGATATCTCTTTGTTTACTAGTCAGATTATCTGCTTGTTGTT